ATGCGGTGTGAGCTATTACTCGTCTTTGTTGCTGTGAGTGAGGTGTTATAAGCCGTGTGTCGATTTGTGTGGTAGGGGCCAACGTACTCAGCTCTGTGGTGTGAGGTATGCAGTGTAAGCTATGTGCTGCAATGCAGTAGGAACAAATGTACTCATCAGTGTGGTGTGAGCTATGCGATGTAAGCATGTGGGGCAAGCTACGTGGTATGAGATACCGTGCTCATGTCTGTGATTTGAGTTGTATGGTGTAAGGTATGTGGGTCACTCCATGTGGTCGGAGCTAGTGAACTCATCTCTGCGGTGTGAGCTGTGTGATGTAAGCTATGTTGTGCAATCGATGTGGTAGGAGGTACTTTGCTCGTCGATGTGGTGTGAGTTAAGTGGTGTAAGCTGTGCGGTGAAATCTATGCGTTGCAATCGATTGCAGTCGATTGTAATCGATTCGATTACAATCGATTGGATAGCAATCGGTCGGCTTGCAACGATTCAGTTGCAACGGTGGGGTGCAACGGGGCGGAGGCGACAGGGCGGCGACGGGACGGCGACGGCGACCACGAGGCGGCGGACCTGATAACGGAGCCCAGACGGCGGGCGGCGACGAGGCGGCGACGGGGCGGCAACGGCGACTACAAGTCGGCGGACCCGACAACGGAGCCCAGACGACGGGCGGTGACGAGGCGGCGACGGCGACCACAAGGCGGCAGACCCGACAACGGAGCTCAGTTCCTTAGAAAAGAAGTAAGGACCCCTTAGTGCAAGCATTGTTTTCTGGAATAGTAATGCGACTGGTAGCGCTAAGGTTGAGAATGGTACCACAGCCCCCGCAGATGCGAGTGAGAGTGAGAGGGTGTCGGGGTCGTCGGCGGTCTGCGAGGCTCTGAAGAAGCCCGTCACAGACGCCGACTTGTACACATTACACACCGAGCCCGCTGCCGGCGCCGAATTTTGTCAAAGCAATGTGGGTCTGTCGCAGGTTGGTCGCTGGTGGGTCGCGGGTGGGTCGCGGGGTAGGCCGCGGGGTGGGTCGCGGGGTGGGTCGCGGGTGGGCCGGGGGTGGGTCGCGGGCGGGTGGTGGGCGAGGACAACGACAACATCAACAACAATAAACAAGTATAATCCGTGCCGCGGAATCCCACTTCAGTCACGCACCAAGGGACGGTGTAAGACCGTTCGGCGCTTTTATTCTGAATATTCATATGGGTACGAGAAGCGATCGGAGTAATTCTGACAAGGAAGATTGATATATTGCGATACGATGTGCCGCCGACAGTGTATTCAAAGGGCCCCTGCGGGGCTGATCTGGGTGGCTGCCCGCTGAAAGTTCAGTTAAACGGGGCGCAGCTAGAGCTCCCTGTGTCGTTGGTGAGGGTGCTCGGCATGATACGAAGCCCGTGCCACTGGCTTCTGAAAGCTCTCATCTCAACGAAGGAAACATGCCATAAACATAAATTTTTGGCGCTCCGCGCGGATTTCTTGCACCCGCGCTGGGCCCCCCTGGCGGCGCCTCCGGCGCCGTTCCTGGCTCGCTCCGCGCGCCAGGAAGGGGGGTCCAGCGCAGATCCAAGAAGTCCACGCGGAGCGCCAACAGTTTATGTCCATAGCGTTTTTTCTTCTTCTATCATCGGCGAGGAATGCACAGAACTACGGATGGCGCCTCCCCTTTCTTCTACGCAGGGCGGAGAGAGAACTCGCAGCCATGCCACGGGGACGTGTGATTGACCACACCCTATTCGGCACAACTTTTGTGATCATCATGATGTGCGTTAGCTCAATGGGTGTCTGTGTGTGCTTGCCCAAACCGCAGTGCCGCCACCTGGCCTGCTGAGCGCGCGTGCGGACTGCCTCTGCCGCGCTGCGACGGAAAAAGTGCGTGCTTACCCCAGTCAGCTCCTCCAGCAGCACGCAGCACGTGTTTGTCCTCATTGCACCGCTCTTCACAGAACGAAGGGCCTGGACGCTGACGCGTCGGCCGCAGACAGTCAGCGGAAGTTGCACCCGTGCCGTGCGTGCTGCATTGTGCGCACCGCGCCAAGTACGGGGCCGAGGAGCGCGATGCCAGGCGTGCCGTGCACTGCTCGCCAGGAAGCGGCGCCTGTGCGCGACGCGCCGTTTGGCCCCGAGGGTGCCGTGCTGAGTGTCGTTCCGGGAGCGCCGCACGGTGCATGCTGCGCGGAGAACGGTGCGCTGCGCGCGACATTGGCCATGCTGGCCGAAGCATGCTTAGATTTCCTCTGTATCCAGGATGCTGTGGTCGGCTTTGTGTGAGCGCGCCAACTTCGGCCAGTTCTGGGGTCCTGGAAGATCCCCCACACCCTCGTGTTCCCTGTGCTCGACCTTCCGAACGCCGCCAACGTTGAACATCCGCGTAATCTAACCGCGCGCCTTTACCTTTCCATGATGTTCAGTTTCTGTTCGCAGGGTGAAGTATGTTTGCGTCTGCACTTCTTGTGCCACTGGTGCACTCGTCGCAGGCGCGGCTTCGTCGTCCTCACCACTCCAGGCCGCTGCGAGAATCTTTTTTAACGTTGCGGAGGGGAAGAGGGGACGTGATGTGCACTGTGTATGATTGCTAAAGTGAGGAATTGCGCCTTCATTTCGGTCCCCTATGCTTCGTCTTTGCATCCCATGCGTCCGTCGCCATGATGTATGTCCTCCGCGCTCCTGCACGTGCGTAAGCCTGTGCCCTCATGCACGGGCGCTCTTAAGCATGGAAGAGGGGCAAGGCTATCGTCAGGCCCTACTCTGCAAAGCTCGATGGTGTTGCAGAAGTGGGGAGGTGAACTCAGTCCCTCTCATGCTGATTGCGGCACTGCGTCAACGTGCCTTTCTCGCTCCAGGACAATTCGCGTTTGGTTCGCGTGTTAGGGCTCGCCAGCGTGCAGACCTCTTGATACATGTAAGGTCACACTCATTTCCATGCAACGATTTCAGATCTGCGCAAGGGCGAGGTAGATGGACACACCAAGCACGTTCGGCGCACACTCCTTTACCTGGTAGACTGGCTTGCTACCGATACAGAGGTCATGTTTTGGGGGCGTAATTATGGCCTTCCGCATCTTCTACAACCGTTTTTTTCCCACATCAACGCTTGCGCTTAGGGGGTCTTTTTTGCGAGGGGCTTGCCCTGCGTGCTGCAGTCGCCGCTCCAGATCGGTGCTCTATATAGCCGTTCCCGCTCGGTGCCTCCATGCGTCGGTGCCGTTTGCGTTTGTTACGTCGTAGTGTCAAATGTGCCGGTGCTAACTATACGTTGCCCATGCATTGGGTCTTCATGCGTTTATGCCTTGTGTGTTGGAGCCCTATGCGTTGCTTACGCGTTGGTGCCTGATGATTGGTGCACTATGCGCTGGGGTCCTATGCGTTGGTGCATTATGTGTTGGAGCACAAGGTGTTGGTACCCTGTGCGTTGGTGTCCTTTTTGTCGGTGCCATTTGATTAGTGCACTGAGCGCTGGGGCACTATGCGTTGATGCCTTATGCGTTGGCGCGTCATGTCTTGGTACCCTTTGCGTTGGTGCCCCGTGTGTCGGTGCCCTATGCGTTGGTGATCTGTGCATTGTTGACCTATGCGTTGGTGCCCTATGCGTTTGTGCCCCTGGCGTTTGTGCTCCATGCGCTTTTGTAGTGTATGCGTTGGTGCCCTGTGCAGCGGTGCTCTTTGGCCATCCGGTCCTGACCATTATGGCTGGAGCCCTATACTTGCTCAGCTTGTCGCAGTCGGCCATTCGCGCGCAGTGCTCTGTGGCTGGTGCTGCATAATTGAAGCACTTGCGAAGGCTGTAGCGCTACTATTTTTACGAAGGCTGCAAGGACGACGACGACTACGACTACGACTGCTACTATGACTACGACAACGACTACAGCTACTACGATTACCACATTCAGAGCTCCCCAAACAGTACTTGCTCTTGGGGTTTCTTATTTGTTCTGTAGGGAACTGACCTTCTTGCTCGCAGTCGTCCGTTCGCGCTAGTTGCTCTATGGCTGCTCGTGATCGGTGATCTATGGCTGAAGCTTGTGCACCGCCTCGGTACCGCAGTCAGCCTTTCGCGCTCGTTGCTCCATGGCCATTCGCACTCCGTGATACATGGCTGGTGACCTATGCGTTGGTGCCTCCTGTGTTGCGGTCGGCCGTTCGCGCTTCGGTGCTCTATCTTTATGTTTTTTTTGTTTTGTTCTGTTGTGTGTGTGTGTGTGTGTGTGTGTTTGTGGGTATGTGCATGTGTGTGTGTGTGTGTGTGTGTGTGTGTGTGCGTGTGTGTGTGTGTGTGTGTGTGTGTATGTTGTGGGTGTTTATCCCCCACATCCCGATTGGGGTTCTTGTTCCCCACATCTACAGTGGGGTTCTTGTTTTCTCTGGACACCCTCCGCGCAGGAACCTCCCTCCCACTCTCCGCCTCACTCACGCATGCACCCCGTCATCGGTCATCATCACCATCGGTCATCATCACCACCACCATCATCATCATACCCAGTCACTCACCATCGATCACCATCTCCATCGGCCATCGATCATCATCATCAGCATCATCATCAGCATCAACGTCACCACCACCGCCATCATCATCATATTCAGTCGCACATCACACACACTCTCGCACATCACACACACACACACACTCTCGCTCGTCACTCAGCATCATATCCTGAGGCCTGAATATGGGGGAAGTATCAGGCGGGAGGCTCGTCTGTGAGTGGATTGCGAGGAAGTCTCTGGCGGGAGCCCTCTCCCTATGGGGCCCGCACTTCATGTTTCTAATCCGAGCGGGTCATCCTCGAACCTGTATCTGTCGTCACTTTTGGGCCCCTGAGGTCTGAATAATGAGAAGTATCAGGCGGGAGGCTCGTCTGTAAGTGGATTGCGCGGAAGTCTCTGGCGGGAGCCCTCTCCCTATGGGGCCCGCACTTCATGTTTCTAATCCGAGCGGGTCATCTTCGAACCTGAAACTGTCGTCATTTGTTGGCTCCGGAGGCTTGAATTTGGGGGAAGTATCAGGCGGGAGGCTCGTCTGTGAGTGAATTGCGAGGAAGTCTCAGGCGGGAGGTATTGGGATACCGTGCTGTTTGCACGGTTTCGTGCCCCTCCCACCCCTCCAGGGAGGCCCCGCCAGAGCAAGGAGGCAATGGGGATTACCATACTGTTTACACGATTTCGTTCTCTTCCCACCCCTCCAGGGAGGCCCCGCCAGAGCGATGAGGGTATCGGGATACCATATTATTCATACCCTTTTGTGCCCTTCCCACCCCTCCAGGGAAGCCCCGTCAGAGCGAGGAGGGTATCGGGATACCATACTATTTTTTCCCTTTCGTGCCCCTCCCACCCCTCCAGGGAGGCCCCGCCAGAGCGAGGAGGCTATCGGGATACCATACTATTTACACGGCTTTGTGCCCCACCCACCACTCCAGGGAGGCCCCGCAAGACCGAGGAGGGTACCGGGCCGCCATGTCACGCGCGAACCTTGGATGGAGTCCTAGAGGTTCGTCTTTTCAGATTGCGTAGCTTTCCGTTCCAGACCCATGCGCGTGAAAAGCACCAGCGCCATGCACCACCAATATCACCGCAGTCGCCCGCCTCCATCAGCATCATCATCATCATCATCATCATCATCATCATCATCATCATCATCATAATCATATTCATCAGCATCAGCATCAGCATCAGTATCAACATCAGCATCAGCATCAGCATCATCATTATCATCATCCTCATCCTCCTCCTCATCATCATCATCATCATCATCATCATCATCATCATTATAATCATCAGCATCAGCATCAGCATCAGCATCAGCATCAGCATCAGCATCATCGTCATCAGCATCGTCATCATCGTCATCATCATCAGCAGCATCATCATCATAATCATCAGCATCAGCATCAGCATCAGTATCAGCACCAGCATCAGCATCAGCATCAGCATCATCGTCATCAGCATCGTCATCATTATCATCATCATCATCATCATCATCATCATCATCATCATCATCATCATCATCATCATCATCATTACCACCAGCACCATCGTCGCGTCGCTCTCCCCTCCCATGTGCTTTTCGCTTATTTGCTTGAAATTTTTCCGACGGAAAGACCCCACAGGAAAATCCTTTCGGCTAATCTGGAAATGACCTTCACTGTCGTGCGGGCCCCATAGGGAAGGGACTCCCGCCTGAGACTTCCTCACAGTTCACTCACAGACGAGGCTTCCCCATATTCAGGCCTCAGGAGCCCCAAAGTGACGACAGTTTCAGGTTCGAGGATGACCCGCTCGGGTAAAAATTTCTCACTTCGTGGAGCTCCCCATATGTGCATCTCATGCTTTATATTATGCCGTAGTGAGCGTCTGTTCATGAGCGTTTGACTATAATAGCCCGTCCACGTTGGCGACAGGCCCGACGAAGACGAGTGCATCCTGATGCGAGTGAGTGAGTATGAGTCAGAGTTAGCTGAGTATGATTGAACATGAGCCTCTTCATCTTCACTCCCCCTCCTCAGCTGCCAGGCCGTGCCCTCCTCAGCCTGCGGTAACTTCGGAGCTTCCCAGATGTGCATACTCTTACTCCTCCTCCTCCTCCTCCTCCTCCTCCTCCTCCTCCTCCTCCTCCTCCTCCCCCTTTCCTCCATCCTCAAAATCTGCTATGCAAGCCAAGGCTGTTGAGCATGAAAACGAGCAAACCGCCTGAGACATCCCCACAAACTGGCCGCGAACGGACCCGTGATATACCCCCTGGCGGCTCCCCTTAGGGGTGCTGAAACGAGCGCCCCGCCTGAGACCTCCTCACAATCTGCTATGAAAGCCAAGGATGTTGGGCATGAACACGAGCAAACCGCCTGAGACGTCCCCACAAACTGGCCGCGAACGGGCCCCTGATATACCCCCTGGCGGCTCCCCTTACGGGTGCTGAAACCAGCGCCCCGCCTGAGACATCTGGCGGCTCCCCTTAGGGGTGATGAAACCAGCGCCCCGCCTGAGACATCCTCACAATCTGCTATGAAAGCCAAGGATGTTGGGCATGAAAACAATCTGGCCGCGAACGGGCCCGTGATATACCCCCTGGCGGCTCCCTTTAGGGGTGCTGAAACCAGCGCCCCGCCTGAGGCATCCTCGCAATCTGCTATGAAAGCCAAGGATGTTGGGCATGAAAACGAGCAAACCGCCTGAGACATCCCCACAAACTGGCCGCGAACGGGCCCGTGATATACCCCCTGGCGGCTCCCCTTAGGGGTGCTGTAACCAACGCCCCGCCTGAGACATCCTCACAATCTGCTATGACAGCCAAGGATGTTGGGCATGAAAACGAGCACACCGCTTGAGACATCCCCAAAATCTGGCCGCGAACGGGCCCGTGATATACCCCCTGGCGGCTCCTCTTAGGGGTGCTGAAACCAGCGCCTCGCCTGAGACATCCTCACAGGCTGCTATGAAAGCCAAGGAGGTTGGGCATGAAAACGAGCAAGCCGCCTGAGACATCCCCACAAACTGGCCGCGAACGGGCCCGTGATA